TGGCGGCCTTAGATCTTTGTATAAGGCTTTATATTTCAGGAGAAATCTGGAGATATCATATCAGATGAATGATGTTTTGACATTTGTCCTTGGCCTCATTTTTAGCTCACCTTGCCCAAAGTGCCAAGTGAGCTTCTCTCATTACTTGCGTCTGTCGTTGTTAACTTTTATAAAAATCTTCTCTGAAACTATTGGGCCAAATTTAACCAAACTTGTGTTGAGATCTATCTACTGTCCATGTACATAAAAACTGTCTGACGATTTCTTATAGAAGAATTATTGCCCTTAAATTTCGAAATTTACCAATTTTTTTTTTCTCTTTTGCATATCATCTTGAACACAATAATAAGTGGAGAGAAACTTTAAATAGCAAATATGATCAACAAGACAAGATTTTCAAATAGATTAACTAAATCATATTGTATTTAACAAGTTTTTCCACTGCATTTAGGACCTGATTTTCTTCAATGCTTAATATATAGATATATTTTTGCTGATTGTCAAGTATTGAAAAATTTCGAACTTTTTTGCTAACAAAATCAACACATGAAGTAATTATATGTATTTCATATCCAACAGATCCAGAGGAGCATTTTTTTACAAATTATTTCTTTATTATGATTGATTGGTGTTTAACGGCACTTTCAACACTATTGGGCTATTTCGTGGCGGTTTTTATTGGCGGAGGAAGCCGGAGTGCACGGAGAGAACCACGACCTTCGGTTAGACTGACAAACCTAGTCAATTAAGATTGGAGTCGAGTGCACATGGCACCTGTGGTCGAACTCATAACCTCAGTGTTGACTGGCTAGTGATACAGTAGTTCGACTACTTAGACCACTCGGCCACCGAGGCCCCGTTTCTGGTTAAGATGTATATGTATATATATATATAAATTTCAAAAACTGCCAAATTCAATCCGAAGGTTGTGTGCAGATATACGAAATTTACATAATTTTATTTCAAATACCATAGATGAATATAATAGGCCAGACAAGGAACAAACAATGAAATACATATGCAATGTATTTTATGAATGTGACCAAGCGATTATACAGGAAAGGTCTAAGTGATTGTACAGTAAATATGCAAGCGATTGTACAGTCAATAAAATACCCAACAGTAAGATAATGAATCTCTTTGAATTTCTCCTGCATATGGGACCATGGCTTCTCACCTTCAGACGGGTAAGACTATATATCAGAAAGGTACAAATGACAATTCAGGTAGCAACGATTTGTTTTTCTATGTTTATTAGCATTTTTCGCTGCTGTGTGCCAGTCTTGATCGATTTACTCGGAGCTCCACCATTCTAAGGAAAACGTTTCAACGGAATGCATATATCATTTGTATCATTTGATTGGTTGATATTTACGTGCAGAATGTTTTCGTTACCACATTTTGAAGCAGAAACTTTATATAGTAACATCAAACTTTCCATCTAGCAACTTGTTATTTTTTTGAATGTCGGAGCCCTACTTGAGGGGGTGGACAGGGGGATACCCTTCTCCCACCTCCCGCCCTCTATCTCCCACCTCCCACTTTTAGAATCTTTTTGTCGAGCCTTCGACTTTAGTCGAAAAAGCGAGACATAGCGATCCTACATTCCGTCGTCGTCGTCGGCGGCGGCGTCCACAAATATTCACTCTGGATAAAGTTTTTGAAATTTTAATAACTTTCTTAAACTATCCTGGATTTCTACCAAACTTGGACAGAAGCTTGTTTATGATCATAAGATAGTATCCAGAAGTAAATTTGTGAAAAAAAAATCATTTTTTCCGTATTTTACTTATGAATGGACTTAGTTTTTCTGCCAGGAAACAATTCATTCACTCTGTGGTTAAAGTTTTTAAAATTTTAATAACTTTCTTAAACTATCCTGGATTTGTACCAAATTTGGACAGAAGCTTGTTTATGATCAAAAGCTAGAATCTAGAAGGAAATTTTGTTAAAATTTGTACCTGTTTGTCCGTATTTTACTTATAAATGGACTTAGTTTTTCTTCCAGTTAACATTAAATACAGTCTGCAGTTAAAGTTTTTAAAACATTTATTAGATTCATAAACTATCCTGGATTTATACCAAACTTTGACAGAAGCTTCTTACAATCAAAAGATAGTTTCTAAAGGAATATTTTTATTGATTTTTTTCCTCATTTTTATTGAGCCTGCGATTTACAGCAAAAGTAGACGAGACACTGGGTTCCGCGGATCCCTTACGAATTTTTTTCTCTCCCACCTATTTTTTGTCTGCAGGGGTAGCTGTAAAATCTTGTTACTGAATAGTGGTCTCTACCTGAAGATTCTTCAGGGGTAGATGTAAAATCTTTGTTACTGAATAGTGGTCTCTACCTGTAAATTCTCCAGGGGTAGCTCTGAAATCTTTGTTTCTGAATAGTGGTCTCTACCTGTAAATTCTTGAGGGGTAGCTGTGAAATCTTTGTTACTAAATAGTGGTATCTACCTGTAAATTCTCCAGGGGTAGCTGTGAAATATTTGCTACAGAAAAGTGGTCTCTACCATTAAATTCTTGAGGGGTATCTGTGAAATCTTTGTTACTGAATAGTGGTCTCTACCTATAAATTCTTGAGGGGTAGCTGTGAAATCTTTGTTACTGAATAGTGGTCTCTACCTATAAATTCTTGAGGGGTAGCTGTGAAATCTTTGCTACTGAATAGTGGTCTATACCATTAAATTCTTGAGGGGTAGCTGTGAAATCTTTGTTACTGAATAGTGGTCTCTACCTATAAATTCTTGAGGGGTAGCTGTGAAATCTTTGCTACTGAATAGTGGTCTATACCATTAAATTCTTGAGGGGTAGCTGTAAAATCTTTGTTACTGAATAGTGGTCTCTACCTGTAAATTCTTGAGGGGTAGCTGCGTAATCTTTGCTACTGAATAGTGGTCTCTACCTATAAATTCTTGAGGGGTAGCTGTGAAATCTTTGTTACTGAATAGTGGTCTATACCATTAAATTCTTGAGGGGTAGCTGTGAAATCATTGTTACTAAAAAGTGGTCTATACCATTAAATTCTCTACACCACGACTTCTCCGGACAGCACAACAGACCACGTACAACTACCTCCAACACCACGACTTCTCCGGACATCACAGCAGACAACAACTACCTCTAATACTACGACTTCTCCGGACAGCACAACAGAACACAATTACCTCGAACACGTCGACTTGTCCGGACAGCACAACAGACGACGTACAACTACCTCTAACACCACGACTTCTCCGGACAGCAAAACAGACCACAACAACCTCTAACACAACGACTTCTCCGGACAACACAACAGACAACAACCACCTCTAACACCGCGACTTCTCCGGACAGCACAACAGACCAAAACAACCTCTAACACCGCGACTTCTCCAGCCAGCACAACAGACCACAACAACCTCTAACACCCCGACTTCTCCGGACAACACAACAACCCCCAATACCGCGACTTCTCTGGACAGCACAACAGACCACAACAACCTCTAACACCGCGACTTCTCTGGACAGCACAACAGACGACCACAACCTCTAACACCGCGACTTGTCCGGAAAAAATTAGTAGATAACCTATGTTTTGAAATTTCCATCTGCTTCTAGCACTGGGTCGATAACACTGCTGTAGGAGTATTTGTCCCAGAGGGTATCATCAGTTCAGTAGTCTGAGCTTAGGTACAGACATGATTTTAACAATTTTTTTTTAATTCTCCGTTGAGAATTTAAGAATTTTTAAATAAACTTCTTCCAACTCCATCAGGCAAAGTTAACTTCAACTGAATTTTGCAATTGTTTATGCCCCTTTTGTATCCAAAGACAAAGAAGCTGTAAAATGTCTGAAGTCTCTTCACGACAACAGTTATTGTTCCTGTGAACAAAGCTTCAAACAAATTTGTTTTTGTCTGTAAATCCTATTTCTACAAGTGTCTTATCAAACTTTTGAGAATGAGATCTTGGCAAATAATAAGTCCTTCATGGCCTCATTGATATTTCAATGAGCAACAAATCTGAGGACTTACCTTGTTTGTATTGGATACCTAAACTCCACAAAGGTTGTACCAAGGAATTGTCCGTTAGATTAACCAAAACTTTGTTCGCAGTGAAAGAGGGATTACAGTAATACTATGAAACTGTTTACTCGCGTAGTGGCATCAACCATATGTGGATTCGTAAAAACTTCTGGAAAATTTAAAAATAAAATATCGGTCATTCTCTGAAATAAATTCTATCAAAACCTTCGGATTTCCCACCCTTTACACCACAAAACCACATGAAAAATTGAAAACCCGTCTTAAAGAAATAATCACAATGCCTTTCTCCATAAATATGATACCATACGCTACATATTTATTGTGTTGGAATATAATTTGACATATTTTGTTGAAAATGACCAGTATGCTGGAGTTTCTAATTGACAACATATTTGATGAATTAGGAGGTAAAATTTTCAAGCAGGTGGTCGGCATTCCTATGGGAACAATATGTGTAACTCATCTGAACGATCTTTTCTTATTATCCTATGAGTCGGAGTTCCTTCAGACACTTGTAAAAAAACAAGAAGATCAAAGAAGCAAGATCATTTAATTTCACATACAGGTATATTTATTATTCTCTTTCCATTAAAAATCCAAACTTTTCTGATTGGGTCCCATTGATATATCCTCTTAAACTAGAGATAAAAGAAACCTGCACATATACAGCTTCCTCCGCCTCTTTTTTAGACATTTACCTCGAATTTGACTACAGCGGTCATCTCAGTACAAACGAGACGATTTCAATTTTAAAATTATAAATTTTCCTCACCTTAGTAGCAATATACCAACTTCACCCGCGTATGGAGTATACGTTTCTCAACCCATGCGATATTCAAGAGCTTGCAGCTGCTACTCCGACTTTATAGAACTTTATCGGTGTTTGAGCGGTCCTGATGAAGGTATATCCCTAAAAGCGCTTGGGAAGCATAACATTGACATTTCATCTGAATTTTCTGAGAGGTTTAGCTAGCTATGAAACCAGGTTTAATCCACCATTTTCTACATAAGGAAATACCTGTACCAAGTCAGGAATATGACAGTTGTTTTCCATTCGTTTGATGTGTTTGAGCTTTTGATTTTGCCATTTTGAATTTTCCTTGGAGTCGGTATGTTTGCTATTTCACTTTTTACATTATAAATGTAATATTTCATAAAACGTTCTCTTTCCAGGCAATGTCCATGGAAACACTTTATTAGATATAGGTACTGGTCCAACAATTCACACCGTCATTAGTGCATGTCCATACGTACAAAAGATAATACTATCGGATTTTTCACAAGTTAATAGAGACGCATTGGAGCATTGGAAAGATAACAAATTACAGACCGGAAGTGCATTATGTCAATTTGTACTAGGCCTTGAAGGAGGAAAGATTCAGTAAGTTTGAGTTAATAGTTTAGTCATCATTTCAGAATCTACTGCATCCTGGGTAATGTTTTTGCAAAAGCATACGCCAAAACGTTGTGATGGGTTAAAAACGTACTAAATAATGAACATTCAACCAATGAAGTGACGTTATTTTCATTTTGGGGTTAGAACAATTAAATTACCCATAGTCCTTTAGATTCTGAAACGGGAAATTGAGCGTGTCTGTTTCATAAGAATCCGTACTGAAATCAATTGCTAATAAACAACATTCAGACCTCCCATGACAACGTCACTCCGATGCACAGGAAAACAAACGAAAATCTTGATACAACTCGTAATTTCTTAGTTGTAACATATGATTGTAATTATAAGAATTGAATTCTTCTTTTTGTAATTTTAGGGGTGTCATACTGTTGATTATGCGCATATCTTTATTATATATAAGTATGAAACGCGTAACAAAATGTGCTTCGGTCAATGTTTTTATATCCCAATAAAATTACAAAAGGAAGCATTCAATTTTTAATTAGTGTCATGTAAGGGAGCTACCATTTGATTTTTATGGGGGTGGGGATGGAGGGCTAGGATGAAATTTGAAAACAATAGGCAGGACAGGAGTTTTGAGTAAAAAAAGGCAGGATGAGACACTTTGCAAAAAAAAAGGCAGGATGACAATTTATGTAAAAAAAAGTCAGGATAAAAAAAAAAAAAAAAAAGGCAGGACCGAATAGAGTGAAAAATAAAAAGGCAGGACAGAGATTACAACAACAAAAAATGCAGGACAAAATTTTCATCCTAGCCCCCCATAAAAATCAAATGGCAGCTCCTTAACTATGGAACCCGTATTTGACAAAAAAAATATACACGGAACTTCAAATGGATTTGTTTGTAAAATCTTGTTCGATTAAAGCTATATTTTGTTTTTCATATTTCAGATATAAGAATTCGCTCTTAAAATGTTCGTTGTATTTCAGCCAGACAGTCCCTGAACGATTTGAAGAGATTCGCCAGAAAATCAAAGAAATACTTCCGGTTGATGTGAACAAATGGCCTCCAATACAGCTTGGGGAAGATTGCCCTGATATAATTGTCTCAAGTCTTTGTTTTGAAGCAGCATGCCCAGAGGTTCCAGACTACAATAAAATAGTTCAGAATGTTGGTCGTCTTATGACCCCAGGCTGCCATCTCGTTTTAGTCGGAGTATTAGACCAGACATTTTACAGAGTTGGTAATTTCAGGTTTTCTTGTTTGAAAATAACCGAGTCTGATTTAAAAACGGCTTATGCAACAAATGGATTTGAGATAAAATCTTGGAAAGAATATATTCCCCCGCCAAGAAATGCAGAGGAAGCCGAATTTTCGGATTTTCAGAAAGCGTTTGTGATGCATGCTGTCAAATTATAATAATTCGATCAAAAGAGGAACTTGATTGACATGTGTAACACTGCAATCCGAAAATACTACAACAATTTCGTACACACCAAATGAGACAACACTATGCATTCTAGCTTCAATACTTCAACAATTTAGTAAATACTTAATTAGATAATTAACGTTTGCTCAAGCATTGTAATTAAGATTGACATCTGCAAACAATATAAATAGGCGGAGTTGAACCTGTATACATTATACTTAAATTTGATTGGATGCTATCCTGGAGGTAAGGAACAACCAATTGTACATGTAAACATTACAAGACAATATGAGTACAGGTTTTACTCCGTCCAATCTATATTGTTTGCAGATGTCAATCTTAATTACAATGCTTGAGCAAACGTTTATACAAACAAAGCAAGCAAGCCAAACAAAGTCTTAATCTACAAGCATTAGGAAATTAGCTCTAATGTTTTCTAAAAGAAACTTAAGTTTTTGAATTTCACATGGCATAACATAATAAGAATCACTGATATCATGCAGCTTATTTTATTGAGTTTTGAATGCAATATGACGTTTTTTCTAGTCTTAGTTCCAGTTGGTGCATAAGTCTATGGTCTGTAATAAAAGAGGAATAACAAATCAGATATGAATACAAATGAAATATAGTAGAGATAGAAGTGTTGACAATTGACTTATTCAATATTACCGACTTTTGACCCCGGATTATATAATTTTTCGACAGGTTACCGACTCTATGGTAGGACATCATGGTGCATGGTCAAGTAAGAGCAACCAACAGAAATAAAATGAAGCATAACAAATCAGATATGAATACAAATTAAATAAAGTACAGATAGAAGTGTTAATTGACTATTTTCATATTTCCGACTTATGACTTCGATTGGAATTTTATTAAGGTTCTTGATAGATCTTGATACTGTGTGATGTGTTTTGTAAACTGTCAATTGTCTCTTCATCTTCTTTGTTGTAATGGTCATTTGTATGTTTTGTTTTTACTTTTTTCCTTTGTTTTCGATTACCACCATAGTATTTTCTAACTTTTGCTTTTATCATTCAATTAATTCGGTGCCATGAGTAGTCATTTGCACTTACAAAAGTGTTTTATAAATGGCTCTGAACCCATAATTAACAATCGATAAATCAGAATTGAAGTTAACAATCATTCTATTAGTAGTAGTGGTCAACACTTGTCCTTCATAGGGTCCACCAGATAACTCTTTCAGAAATGCGTCTCCATCATATACCTATACACAAATATAGTTTTATTAAAATACTATGTTGTTTTTGTATACTTTTATATCGACACTGCTGGAAATATTATGAAGATAGTGGGCATAAGAATTGATGTCATTGTTAAAGAATATGACGCTTACAATCGACAACGTATGAATACAGAAGCACTACAGACAATTTTTTTCTGTTTAATCTTGTTATATGGTTAAATATATTCTTATCGTATTAATAAAAACTATAGTTGAAATATACTTTTAAATAAGTTTTAATAGAACAAATTTAGTTTAATGTTGATCACAATATATCCCATTGATATTTCCTCACTGCGTTATAAAATTACACGAAGATTAAAAATTAAGTTTGTTCTTGATTTTCAATCATTTGAAAGTTTGACACATTTTATGATAAATATTACAATCTTTAAACTAAAATGAAACACTAACACAATTTATATTGTCGGCTTTCAAAATTTGGAAACTTCGATATAACTATGATTATAACAACGAAAGAAGCAGTTCATGAAAAACGTATATAACTTCGAAACTAGTTTAATGATAAAAAAATAATTGTACCGTAATTACATCAGTTCCGGCTTCTGTTAAAAAGGTTGTGAAGTTCACCATTATTCTAGAACCTTCATTGGCCGTAATGTAGTAAGAACAATTGTTACCTTTGCAAAAACTTGATGGATAATTTAGTGAGGTAAATCTTCCCATCGGTCCGGTACCACCACAGGTATCTATCATTTGTTTTCAACAGTAGATTTCTCGTGGTCGATGTTTGGAAATGAAAATAACACTTTATACATTTTGTTCGTCCGAATCGCTTTTCTAGATTTACATTCATAAGGAACGTACCAATCTAACTATTGTAAAACCAAGGATGTAATCTGCTTTCAAAAGACAGTCCTTTATGCATCTATCATTATAAGAGTCTTATTATCGTAATGTATTTCCCCTTTTTTTCTCAAGTTTATTGCCGTTTATCAACATTCTCTTTTATATATTTTAGCACCCCATTACTCTCCCATTGTTTTTTTGTTTGCCCTATTTTTCTCTATCATATTCTATATTTTTGGTCTATTTTTCATACAAGTGAGAGGTTTAGCTAGCTATACAACCTGGTTTAATCCACCATTTTCTACATAAGGAAATGCCTGTAGCAAGTCATGATCAGGAATATGACAGTTGTTTTCCACTCGTTAAATGTGTTTGAGCTTTTGATTTGCCATTTGATAAGGAACTTTCCATTTTGAATTTTCCTTGGAGTTCGGTATTTTTGTTATTCTACTTTTTACAATCAATGACTATTTTAAAGATAATGACTTCCTTTACCATTTGGGTAGAAGAATTTAATTTGTAAAGTTTTTTTACTGTGGTACATAACACAACAGGGAGATAACTTTTTAAAAATCAGATGAGCGTTTTAATCACGTTCTATTGTTAAGGAAATATTAAGCTTCTCAATGATCAAAATTAGTGTTTGTCAAACTGAATAGTGGTCTCTACCTGTAAATTCTTGAGGGGTAGCTGTAAAATCTTGTAACTGAATAGTGGTCTCTACCTGTAAATTCTTCAGGGGTAGCTGTTAAATCTTTGTTACTGAATAGTGGTCTCTACCTGTAAATTCTTGAGGGGTAGCTGTAAAATCTTTGTTACTGAATAGTGGTCCTACCTGTAAATTCTTAACCTGTAAATTCTTGAGGGGTAGCTATAAAATCTTTGTTACTGAATAGTGGTCTCTACCTGTAAATTCCTGAGGGGTAGCTGTAAAATAGTGGTCTCTACCTGTAAATTCTTCAGGGGTAGCTGTAAAATTTTGACAATGGACATGAATACTTTTGAAAGAACATAGTAACAAGGACATTCGTAATTTGTAACATAAAGGTCAAGAAGAGATGTAATTTAAAAAAAAAACATTTTAAAATTAAATGTGGATGTCGTTCCTCATTTCCGCAAAAGAAAAAAAAACCTATTGCTTTATTGATTGAAGACAATTTATACATATTAAATGCCAGTCTTTGTAAGAATCAGGCAATTTTGAAAAAAATTAAAAAAAAAACATAGCCGAAAAAACCCCACCGACCTAACCATCCTATTTTGAAGTTACCCTCATCCTGAGTTAGAAATGGTAGGTCTTTCATTTCTGGGTGTCTGGTAATTCGAGAAATCTCTAGATAACTTTTGGTTAGAATGATAGCAAATTACGGAGTTAGTTCCCCTTAACTGTTAATTTCTAGTGCATTTCAACCAAGTTATATCTTGAATTACGAATCGAATGTTATTTTCGTGCACCATTATACATTTTGAACATAAATTAATGTCAACTTGACAGGGTTTTTGTTTGTCATGTTTTCACCATTGCCTGATTCATAGGCAGATTGGCACTTAAATGTATCTGTTGATTTTGTTTGGGTTTCTTCCAATAACAAATATATAGCCATAGACAGTTCAAGCTGAGACAGACCGGTGGCATATAGATACATTTCTGGAATATTTATTTTGGACACGGCGAAAGAAAACAGTAATTCTCTGTCAACACAAAAAAAAAAAGCACGATAGAAACGAGTGTCTCCTTCTAGTCGAATAGGAGAAACAGTTTGTGGTTAAATTAAATCAAATTGGGAATCGAACGGGATTTCATTTCTTTTTTCTTTAATTCTTTAAAACATATTTTTCTATTCTTTATCCCCCCTCAACCCCCTATTTATTCTGCACTTTCCAACCATTATTCTCTATTCTGTAAAACCGCATCCCGACCCTCATACACGTAACCGCATAAAACTGGGGTGGGGTATTTGGGATCATCACGCTCTGACTTTAATAGATCTTTAATATGGACCTCGACTTTCTTGAACATATTTTTAAGGCCGAATCCCTAGCTTCGGTAGTGGTAATTGCTTTTTCTTAACGTTTAAGCTTAATTTTGTGGTATTTCAATAACACTCGGCATTGATAAAAGGGAAAACAGTTATAAAGAGTAAATAAACTGTTCGTTACTTATATTTGCTACGTCATTTCTTGTGACAAACAAAAAACAAACTGCTCAAAGGGAGACAATCTCAGCCAATCTAATTAACGTTTTTGCGTGAACCTTCCTTCACGAAATGGCGACTTTGACAAGTACCGATTATTCTAATGATTTCGACGTTAATTGGTATATTGACACATATTATTCTGCAGTTGCTGGGTGTCATGAAGAAGGAGACTTCTTGACCTTTATATTAATGGCACTGCATGATATTTTTAATGCAGGTAAGTTTAAATCTGTATGATCCTGTATTGTGTACTATATTTTTTATAATGTACACAAGACATCAAAATTTCTTTTGGATTTGTGTGTTGCTAACTAGATAATGCAATAGTAAGGGATGTCTCTGAAAAGGGCTGAGGCATATTTGGGGTCATGACGCTCTGACTTGAATAGTCAATCTTCAATCTGAACCTCAACTTCCTTAAACAGTATTTTTGTAAGATTTAAATTTTTTTCATTGAACCCCTCCCTCTTTTTTTTTGGGGGGGGGGGGGGTTCGCCCTAGTCCGAACCCCTGGCTACGGGTGTGGTAAATGACATTTCTTTACGTTAAAGCAACGTATCACACTCGCCATTGATCTTCTTAAGTGACTTATATTTGTGTATAACGTGTATCACTCACTCTTTGTGATAAGTTATATATATCTCTCAAGGTAATACAAACTCTATTTATAGAATTCTTAGTCTTATATAATGTTGTATCAGTTAAGCAACTACTCCACGATTTCCAACGGATAAAAAGGGGAGGGTCAGATATGTAAAAGATAAATATAACTTTATTAATGAAATGCACATTTATACTCCGAGGGGTTGAAGGCATATGTAAACATTACAATACAAATATATACACAATGCGAAAATTATAAGATATTGAACATCATATATAGCAGTAGTAAAAAAAGTAAGAATATTGATGCAGGTGTTGTGTCCACTCTCCTCAGTTCAAATGACCTTTTATACGCCCGTTTACGGGACGTATTATGGTATACCGTTGTCCGTCTGTCCGTCCGTCTGTCAACATGTCGGACATTAACTCAAAAATGCTTTAACCAATTTGCATAAAACTTTGGTGAATTGTTTATATCTATTGACCTGAGCTCCCTGTTGTTTTTTTATAAAATTTAGATTTTACGTTTTCGAGTTATGGGGTTTTATTCATTAAAACAAGGATGATTTTCCAGTTTTCGGACAATAAGTCAAAAATGCTTTCACCAACTTGCAAGAAATTGTGGTGAATTGTTTATATCTATTGACATGAGCTCCCTTTCGATTTTTATAAATTTTAGATTTTACGTTTCCGAGTTACAGGGTTTTATTCATAAAAAAGGGGTGATTTTCAAGTTTTCGGACAAAAACTCAAAAATGCTTTCAGCAATTCTTATGAAACTTTGGTGAATTGTTTGTATGTATTGATGAAAGCTCCCTTTAGAATTTTATAAATTTTACATTTTATATTTCTGAGATATGGGGTTTTATTCATTGAAAAAGGCGTGATTTTCCAGTTTTCGGACAATAACTCAAAAAAGCTGTCACCAATTCTCATGAAACTTTGGTGAATTGTTTATATCTATTGATGTAAGCTCCCTTTCTATTTTCATAAATTTCTAATATGACATTGAGAATTAATTGAACTTTATTTGTTTAAAGTCTGGCAACAGATTTACTAAGTATTGCACAACAGCAAGAAATCTGTAATTGAATATAAATTCAATTCATATAACCAATTTCAAGTTCTTTGACTACATTTATTCAGAAACCTATAATATGTCAAATATTTAATTACAATCCAAATTCAGACCTGAATCAAGCTTGAATATTGTGTCCATTTTTGCCCCAACTGTTCAGGGTTGGACCTCTGCGGGCGTATCTAGCTGCGCTCAGCGAAGCAGTTTATTAATGAACGGAACAGTAAGCTGAATAATATCAAATGAAGATAGAAGTAATTGCTAGCTATCTGTTTCGGACAATTTCAAGAATTCTGGACAAATATTTATGTCTTTTTCAAGCTGATTTCGAAAAGATTTATTAATTTTACCAAGGAATTGTGTATTTATACAATTCCTTGATTTTACATGTTAAGAAAAAATGGGTTTCATCTTCAACCTCATTAATATTACAATGTTTGAATTCTTTTATAACTGTAACTGTAAAAAAAAATTGATGCAATATTATTTAGTTTTTTTTTACTTGTTCACATATTTTCTATCAAAAGCAGAGATCTATGATCTAAATTGTTCGTTTCATTGACTTCAAGTATGTTTTAATTTCGACTTTATCTGTAACCGGAGAGCAAGCTTCTTATTAGAAATTATATCACATTGTCTCCCCATGGACTTGAACCCGGGACCTCTGTATTACAAGTCAGCGCTATAACCGAAGTACTTCTCTAGCTCAACCGCTTACATATGGCTAAGTATCTATTACTCAATGGAAGTAATCCCGTCGCAATTCCAAGATACTTCGTGACTTACAACCATATAAAAAGATTCATCCAATCTGCTAACCTCGGGTGACTCTGCTTCTCTCCATCGGAATCGGCCGAGTTGTGGCGAATGAGGATTCATCACAGGGAATATAGCAGATTCTCACAAGTGGGCATTCCGACCTATTTGTTATGCTTCATTGATTCAGATGACGTTATAGTCTGAATTCAGATATCATCAACTAAGTGATCTTTAATCATTGAACGTGGTATAAGGGTAATATAAAAATAAGAAGGTGTGGTATGATTGCCAATGAGATAACTCTCCACCAGAGACCAACGAAGTTAACAGCTGTAGGTCACCGTACGGCCTTCAACAATGAGCAAACCCATACAGCATAGTCAGCTTTAAGAGGCCCCGAAATGACTAATGTAAAACAATTCAAACGAGAAAACTAACGGCCTAATTTATGTACAAAACAATGAACGAAAAACAAATATGATATACAGCAACAAACAACAACCACTGAATTGAAGGCCTTGTTGTGACCAATATTTTACGCTTCTTTGACGTCGTTGAAGTTTTGCATCCGGGTCAAGGTCTCAAGTACTACATGGCTTACCATCATCTAACTTTGTGTATCTCGAAGATAATAGCAGGTCACTCTGACACACATTGTTCGCTTCATTGATCACATTTTACTTCCTTTCTCTATAAATTAGATTTCAGAATAGTAACTGTTTAATTTGAATTATAATGTCAACAAAACGGACGTTTTATCAGTAGAGATAATGTATGAGGGTTTGGATGGGTGGTCCTTCATTTCTTTATTCTTTAATTTTTCAGATAATTTTTCATCTATTTTTTATATTTTTTGCCCGTTATTCTCTTTTCGTTATGTTTTAGCATTCCATTATTCTCTATTCCTTATAATTTGTTAGCCTATTTTTCTCTATTCTTTATTTTTTTCGCCCATTATTCTCTATTCTGTAAATCCCCATTCAGACCCTCATAAAAAGAATAACAGGAATCACAAAAAATAGTGGACAGCACAACAGACCACAACGTCTATCACCGCGACTTCTTCGGACAGCACAACAGACCACAACAACCTCTAACACCGCTACATCTCCGCACAAAACAACAACCCCCAACACCGCGACTTCTCTGGACAGCACAACAGACCACAACAACCTCTAACACCGCGACTTCTCCGGACAGCACAACAGACCGCAACAACCTCTAACACCGCTACTTCTCCGGAAAACACAACAACCCCCAACACCGCGACTTCTTTGGACATCACAACAGAACACAACAATCTCTAACACCGCGACTTCTCCGGACAGCACAACAGAACACGAACAACTACCTCTAACGCCACGACTTCTCCAGACAACACAACAACCCCCAACACCGCGACTTCTCCGGACAGCACAACAAAACACAACAACCTCTAACACCGCGACTTCTCCGGACAGCACAACAGACCACGTACACCTACCTCTAACACCACGACTTCTCCGGACAGCACAACAGAACACAAAAACCTGCAACACCGCGACTTCCCCGGACAGCACAACAGAACACAACAACCTGTAACACCGCAACTTCTCCGGACAGCACAACAGACCACGTACAACTACCTCTAACACCGCGACTTCTCTGGACAGCACAACAGACCACGTACAACTACGTCTAACACCACGACTTCTCCGGACAACACAACAACCCCCAACACCGCGACTTCTACGGACAGCACAACAGAACACAACAACCTGTAACACCGCGACTTCTGCGGACAGCACAACAGACCACGAACAACTACCTTTAAAACCACGACTTCTCCAGACAGCACAACAGACCAAGTACAACTACCTCTAACACCACGACTTCTCTGGACAGCACAACAGACCAAAACAACCTCTAACACCGCGACTTCATCGGAAAGCACAACAACCTCTAACATCACGACTTATCCGGACAGCACAACCGACCACAACTACCTCTGACACCGCGACTTGTCCGGACAGCACAACAGACCACGTTCAACTACCTCTACACCACGACTTCTCCGGACAGCACAACAGACCACGTACAACTACCTCCAACACCACGACTTCTCCGGACATCACAACAGACAACAACTACCTCTAATACTACGACTTCTCCGGACAGCACAACAGAACACAACTACCTCCAACACAACGACTTCTCCGGATAGCACAACAGACCACGTACAACTACCTCTAACACCACGACTTCTCCGGACAGCACAACAGACCACAACAACCTCTAACACAACGACTTCTCCGGACAACACAACAGACAACAACCACCTCTAACACCGCGACTTCTTTGGACAGCACAACAGACCAAAACAACCTCTAACACCGCGACTTTTCCGGACAGCACAACAGACCAAAACAACCTCTAACACCGCGACTTCTCCAGCCAGCACAACAGACCACAACAACCTCTAACACCCCGACTTCTCCGGACAAGACAACAACCCCCAATACCGCGACTTCTCTGGACAGCACAACAGAATACAACAACCTCTAACACCGCGACTTCTCTAGACAGCACAACAGACGACCACAACCTCTAACACCGAGACTTGTCCGGAAAAAATAAGTAGATAACCTATGTTTTGAAATTTCCATCTGCTTCTAGCACTGGGTCGATAACACTGCTGTAGGAGTATTTGTCCCAGAGGGTATCATCAGTTCAGTAGTCTGAGCTTAGGTACAGACATGATTTTACAATTTTTTTTAAATTCTCCGTTGAAAATTTAAGAATTTTTAAATAAACTTCTTCCAACTCCATCAGGTAAAGTTAACTTCAACTGAATTTTGCAATTGTTTATGCCCCTTTTGTATCCAAAGACAAAGAAGCTGTAAAATGTCTGAAGTCTCTTCACGACAACAGTTATTGTTCATGTGAACAAAGCTTCAAACAAAGTTTTTGTCTGTAAATCCTATTTCTACAAGTGTCTTATCAAAGAATTAGGAATAAATGAACACTCGGGTAATCCCACGTACGAAAACGTAACTTTTGATAAGAATGAGATCTTGGCAAATAATAAGTCCTTCATGGCCTCATTGATATTTCAATGAGCAACAAATCTGAGGACTTACCTTGTTTGTATTGGATACCTAAACTCCACAAAGGTTCTACCAAGGAATTGTCCGTTAGATTAACCAAAACTTTGTTCGCAGTGAAAGGGGGATTACAGTTATACTGTGAAACTGTTTACTCGCGTAGTGGCATCAACCATATGTGGATTCGTAAAAACTTCTGGAAAATTTAAAAATAAAATATCGGTCATTCTCTGAAATAAATTCTATCAAAACCTTCGATTTTCCCACCCTTTACACCACAAAACCACATGAAAAATTGAAAACCCGTCTTAAAGAAATAATCAAAATGCCTTTCTCCATAAATATGATACCATACGCTACATATTTATTGTGTTGGAATATAATTTGACATATTTTGTTGAAAATGACCAGTATGCTGGAGTTTCTAATTGACAACATATTTGAGGAATTAGGAGGTAAAATGTTCCAGCAGGTGCTCGGCATTCCTATGGGAACAATATGTGTAACTCATCTGAACGATCTTTTCTTATTATCCTATGAGTCGGAGTTCCTTCAGACACTTGTAAAAAAACAAGAAGATCAAAGAAGCAAGATCATTTAATTTCACATACAGGTATATTTATTATTCTCTTTCCATTAAAAATCCAAACTTTTCTGATTGGGTCCCATTGATATATCCTCTTAAACTAGAGATAAAAGAAACCTGCACATATACAGCTTCCTCCGCCTCATTTTTAGACATTTACCTCGAATTTGACTACAGCGGTCATCTCAGTACAAACGAGACGATTTCAATTTTAAAATTATAAATTTTCCTCACCTTAGTAGCAATATACCAACTTCACCCGCGTATGGAGTATACGTTTCTCAACCCATGCGATATTCAAGAGCTTGCAGCTGCTACTCCGACTTTATAGAACTTTATCGGTGTTTGAGCGTTCCTGATGAAGGTATATCCCTAAAAGCGCTTGGGAAGCATAACATTGACATTTCATCTGAATTTTCTGAGAGGTTTAGCTAGCTATGAAACCAGGTTTAATCCACCATTTTCTACATAAGGAAATACCTGTACCAAGTCAGGAATATGACAGTTGTTTTCCATTCGTTTGATGTGTTTGAGCTTTTGATTTTGCCATTTTGAATTTTCCTTGGAGTCGGTATGTTTGCTATTTCACTTTTTACATTATAAATGTAATATTTCATAAAACGTTCTCTTTCCAGGCAATGTCCACGGAAACACTTAATTAGATATAGGTACTGGTCCAACAATTCACACCGTCATTAGTGCATGTCCATACGTACACAAGATAATACTATCGGATTTTTCACAAGTTAATAGAGACGCATTGGAGCATTGGAAAGATAACAAATTACAGACCGGAAGTGCATTATGTCAATTTGTACTAGGCCTTGAAGGAGGAAAGATTCAGTAAGTTTGAGTTAATAGTTTAGTCATCGTTTCAGAATATACTGCATCCTGTGTAAAAGCATACGCCAAAACGTTGTGATTGGTTAAAAACGTACTAAATAATGAACATTCAACCAATGAAGTGACGTTATTTTCATTTTGGGGTTAGAACAATTAAATTACCCATTGTCCTTTAGATTCTGAAACGGGAAATTGAGCGTGTCTGTTTCATAAAAATCCGTACTGAAATCAATTGCGGGGCTTTCCAAAATCAAATTGTTTTTCTAACTAATAAACAACATTCAGACCTCCCATGACAACGTCACTCCGATGCACAGGAAAACAAACGAAAATCTTGATACAACTCGTAATTTCTTAGTTGTAACATATGATTGTAATTATAAGAATTGAATTCTTCTTTTTGTAATTTTATAGGGGTGTCATACTGTTGATTATGCGCATATCTTTATTATATATAAGTATGAAACGCGTAACAAAATGTGCTTCGGTCAATGTTTTTATATCCCAATAAAATTACAAAAGGAAGCATTCAATTTTTAATTAGTGTACATGTAAGGGAGCTACCATTTGATTTTTATGGGGGTGGGGGTGGAGGGCTAGGATGAAATTTGAAAACAATAGGCAGGACAGGAGTTTTGAGTGAAAAAAGGCAGGATGAGACACTTTGCAAAAAAAAAAGGCAGGATAATAAAAAAAAAAAAAAAAAAAGGCAGGACCGAATAGAGTGAAAAATAAAAAGGCAGGACAGAGATTACAACAACAAAAAATGCAGGACAAAATTTTCATCCTATTCCCCCATAAAAATCAAATGGCAGCTCCTTAACTATGGAACCCGTTTTTGACCAAAAAAAATATACACGGAACTTCAAATGGATTTGTTTGTAAAATCTTGTTCGATTAAAGCTATATTTTGTTTTTCATATTTCAAATATAAGAATTCGCTCTTAAAATGTTTGTTGTATTTCAGCCAGACAGTCCCTGAACGATTTGAAGAGATTCGCCAGAAAATCAAAGAAATACTTCCGGTTGATGTGAACAAATGGCCTCCAATACAGCTTGGGGAAGATTGCCCTGATATAATTGTCTCAAGTCTTTGTTTTGAAGCAGCATGCCTAGAGGTTCCAGACTACAATAAAATAGTTCAGAATGTTGGTCGTCTTATGACCCCAGGCTGCCATCTCGTTTTAGTCGGAGTATTAGACCAGACATTTTACAGAGTTGGTAATTTCAGGTTTTCTTGTTTGAAAATAACTGAGTCTGATTTAAAAGCGGCTTATGCAACAAATGGATTTGAGATAAAATCTTGGAAAGAATATATTCCCCCGCCAAGAAATGCAGAGGAAGACGAATTTTCGGATTTTCAGAAAGCGTTTGTGATGCATGCTGTCAAATTATAATAATTCGATCAAAAGAGGAACTTGATTGACATGTGTAACACTGCAATCCGAAAATACTACAACAATTTCGTACACACCAAATGAGATAACACTATGCATTCTAGCTTCAATACTTCAACAATTTAGTAAATACTTAATTAGATAATTAACGTTTGCTCAAGCATTGTAATTAAGACTGACATCTGCAAACAATATAAATAGGCGGAGTTGAACCTGTATACATTATACTTAAATTTGATTGGATGCTATCCTGGAGGTAAGGAACAACCAATTGTACATGTAAACATTACAAGACAATATGAGTACAGGTTTAACTCCGTCCAATCTATATTGTTTGCAGATGTCAATCTTAATTACAATGCTTGAGCAAACGTTTATATAAACAAAGCAAGCAAGCCAAACAAAGTCTTAATCTACAAGCATTAGGAAATTAGCTCTAATGTTTTCTAAAAGAAACTTAAGTTTTTGAATTTCACATGGCATAAAATAATAAGAATCACTGATATCATGCAGCTTATTTTGTTGAGTTTTGAATGCAATATGACGTTTTTTTCTAGTCTTAGTTCCAGTTGGTGCATAAGTCTATGGTCTGTAATAAAAGAGGAATAACAAATCAGATATGAATACAAATGAAATATAGTAGAGATAGACGTGTTGACAATTGACTAATTCAATATTACCGACTTTTGACTCCGGATTCTATAATTTTTCCACAGGTTACCTACTCTATGGTAGGACATCCTGGTACTCGGTCAAGTTAGAGCAACCAAAAGAAATAAATTCAAACATATATTAGGTGCAAGTTTGGGAAAACTGTTTTTTGATGATTTTGTGATGTATAGAAAACATAAAAAAAATTACGCCCCCCCCCTCCACCCCAAAAAAAAAATTGTACCGATTGTAAGCCTGATTTTACTTCTTTATTCTTTAAATTTTTGTTACTTGACCGAGTACCAGGATGTCATACGACAGAAGGATATTACCTGTCGAAAAAATATAATCTCCGGACTGAAAAGTTGGTAAAATAAGAATAGTCTTTTGACGCATGTCAATAGTGAACAACAGTCTATTGACACATGTCAATTCTAAGTGATTTGATTCCTTCTATTTGAAAAAAAAACATTTTATATACTGCTACAAGTGTGGACACAGATCAGTGTGGATAGTATGATTGGATGTTTGACAGTGTTTTATATGACAAAAGGAGTTCTATGTTTTGTTTTCTATGTATTAACTGTGTTGCACAATGACAACCAACATGAGCACTAGGGGTGTTGTTTATGTAATATTTAGTTTTTTATGTTCAACACGGCATGGAAGAGATACTAATTGCATTAATTACCAAATGATTATGATAGAATATATATGTTCCACATCTTTGATTTTGGATACATTTTGTAGCTAGGAGAGGAACACATAATAGGTTCATTTTTTTCTTAATGTGATTTTTTTATATGGGAGATGGTATCTGAGAACATGTATTTGCTTACTATTTGTATGGTTCTATTTATATTACTTTGTGGGGGATTGTCAGTATTATAAGTAAAAGATTTCAGTTAAATGTGGAAATTGTTTCTCAGTTTAGAAGACATTTAATGTTTTTTAGTAATGACAATGCCTGACATGATGATTTGGGCTAGATGAGATAGAAAGTGAATTTCTGTGTTATTTTTTATTAATTCTTTGAAAATATCTCCTCCAAAGCTGGTCAAAGCAAAAAAAAAGTTTTGACCAGTATGAAAATGATATCAACAAAAGAACCTTTGTGAGCATGCTTCAAAGACTCATAACTAACTACAGAAGTCATATGATAAAATGTCAAGTGGATATTATGAACATCTACTTAATATGTCTAAATATCTAAAAAGTTTTAGTATTCAATATGAAAAAGCTATTGCAAAAGTATTCTCTTTTCATTTTTTTTTGTTATATGGATACAAATATAAGTGATACAAATACAGTAAGGCGGTTTTGTTATGGTATGAAAGTGTAGTAATTAACATTTACTGTTAATTCACACAAATTAAGAAATAAACAAATGAATGATAAATGTTGAACATGTACAATGAAATATATTTTAGAAATCAATTAGGCCAGATAGGCCTTAGGCCATGCAAAAAAGATAGTTGGTTTCCCCTAACCCTGCCGGGTCTCTTTTTACCCTCCAGGTCAATTTTTTTTTCTCTCTTTTTTAGCAGATGAAAAATAAAGAGTTTCTTGTGTTTCTAATGACTATTATCAATGGTGCTTTTTAAATTGTCTGATAATCTCAAGTGTTTCAACATTGCTCAATTCTCATTCCTTCAGTTTCACATAGATTATACCACAATATAGAATGTGAAACAAACATTAATTACAGGTAAACAACAACATTCTCTTTAGACGAAACTGATTTTTCACAAAAAAATAAAATAAAATAAAAAGTTGTTTCTGCCTGCCGGGCCTTAATTATTTTCACATGTTAGGGGAAACCAACATTCATTTTTCAATGGCCTTATACATTTTGGTCTTTTTCTTAACATACTGAATGAACATTTACACTCAAGACTCAGTCGCCAGTAGGCAGTACAGATGTAAAAAAATAAAGTGTAACAAAAGAACCTAGCATCATATTGCTAGTAGCGCCAGTAGCATTGTTTGGTTCAAATATAAATAAAATGCTTTTATCTCCCTATTACTTACATTGTACATAGAATGGATACTACTAATTTGACAATTCCTTGTACATGAGAGTTGTCTGTCAAATCTTTATTTCACAAAGAATGAATTGCATAACAATGAACTGAGCTCAAAGCAAAGCACTTTAATAATACACTTAGACAATGAGCTCAATCCAGTGATATACTTTGTACTATAGGTCCTTCATGAACATCCTACTGGCCAAAACCATCTCACAAACATGCCATACTACATGGTTGGATCAGAAGTCCTGAAAAAGACATGAACTTTATTAACATATTTTAAGTATATACACCGGTTAAAACTTTCACAAATTTGTGGTAAAATTATTCAGTATCTAGCAACTATCAATCGCTTCATGCACAAATTGATATAGGTTGAGTACCCCTCTGTCAGAAATAAGAACATACCTCCACCTAATTTTAGTTAACTGATGAAGAAACATTCAAAACTATAAAATGTTATCTAATAGACTAGCTGCAATGAAATCCCAGTTTTCTAAAATGGTAGGTGGAACCTAAAACTCAAAAGATTTTAAACTATGCATTTTAAATATTGCAAATATACATGTAATAATAATTCTTCTCAAAAATTCGCTATATTTTTCCTTACTTTTTCTTTTGTTCGAGACTGTATATTGACCTCTAGATGTCTTTCAATTACATCCAGTTTGGCGTGGGTTGATGTTTGATTGTTGTACATGTTATATATCGACGTGGGATTTGTTTATATAAATTAGGCGTGAAATAATTTTGGTTAACTGAAATCCTTTAACTTACTTCCAAATTAATGTTAATACTGAGGGAAAAAATTACATTGCTAAATAACCACTTTAAAACACAATGCAAACTTTTTGAGAGGAAGGCATAATGCATGTAACATCTATTAGATCTTTTTTTAAACCATTCTAAACTACTGATAAGTGATAAAGTTTGTTAACTGTTACTTACCTTCAAAAAGGGGTTGATATACTACATATACATATAAATATAATCAACAATACTGAGTGCAACACCTAGGATAAATAGAGGATTGTTTTGTAAGAATAGTTGCTGAAATAAGCAGGCAATATTCAAAGTAGAATAAAAAAATATTACAGGACTGTGTTTTAAAGTAATAAGCATTGTGCAGGGCTCACGTTACCATGCTACTGGGGCGACAAAGTCGCTTTCCCGGTCGCCACTTCGCTTTGACCGACCTTCAAAAGCAAAATCTAGTTGCCCTGTTGTTTACGATACTCAAATTCAGTTGCTTTCGTCATCGGCAATATTCAACATTTACCAAGTCGATGAAACAGCAATTTTTCATTTGAAAGTAAAGAAATTCAAAGACATAAACGATTTATTTTCTTTAGGAGGTTAAAGCATTGATTTTAAAGATGGTTGCATGTTATTTTCAGAAAGACAACTTTTTTATCACTTCTGGAACTTGTTACTCAAGCGTAGATCAAATCATTCTAACTTTCGGCAAAATAAGCTTGTTACTTCATTAGAACGTGATGAAATTAAAGATTTCTTGCTGTTGTGCAATACACTGTGCTGTTGCGCAATACTTAGTAAATCTGTCGTCAGACTATAAACAAATAAAGTTCAATTAATTCCCAGTCATATTAGAAATTTATGAAAATGTAAAGGGAGATTGCATCAATAGATATAAACAATTCACTTAATTTTCATGAGAATTGCTGACAGCATTTTTGAGCTATTGTCTGAAAACTGGAAAATCACCCATTGTTTAATGAATAAAACTCCATCACTCAGAAATGTAAAATGTAAAATTTATAAAATTCTAAACGGAGCTTACATCAATATAGATATAAACAATTCACCAAAGTTTCATACAAACTGCTGAAAGCATTTTTGATTTTTGTCCGAAACTGGAAAAGCCCCCCTTTTTTCATGAATAAAACCCTGTAACTCAGAAATGTAAAATCTAAAATATATAAAAATCGAAAGGGAACTCATGTCAATAGATATAAACAATTCACCACAATTTCTTGCAAGTTGATGAAAGCTTTTATTGTCCGAAAACTGGAAAATCCCCCTTTTTTTAATGAATAAAACCCCATAACTCAGAAACGTAAAATCTAAAATTTATAAAAAACGAAAGGGAGATCATGTCAATAGATATAAACAATTCACCAAAGTTTTATGCAAATTAGTTAAGGCGGTTTTGAGTTAATGTACGACATGTTGACGACGGACAACGGTATACCATAGTATGTCCCGTAAACGGGCGTATAAAAATGACAGGGTGTCATACCACACCAAAACAAACTTTTGAATTTGATCTGTAAACTGGGAAAGCCATCCTTTTTTATGAATAAAATTACACAATTTATTAAATTGAAAGGGAGCTTGCATCAATAGATATATATAAACAATTAACCAAAGTTTCATGACAAATGACAACTGCTTAAAGCATTTTCGAGTTAATGTCCGAAAACATGGAAATCCCTCTTTTGGAATGAATAAAACCCCTTACATTGTAACTGGATAATGTAAATTCTAAAATTCCAAAACAATCTAAAGGGAGCTCACATCAATACATGAATAAAATCCCATATAACTCAGAAACGGGAAACCTAAAATTTATAAAATAATCTATTCACAACAGTTTCATGCAAATTGGTGAAAGCGTTGAAGAGTTAGTGAACAGAGCATTTTTAGAGTTAATGGGCGTTAACATGAAAATCCCCAATTTTTAATGAATAAAACCTCACATTTTGAAAATGTATATTATAAAATTCCTAAAAATCTAAAAGGGAGCTCACGTCAGTAGATATAATCAATTCACCAGAGTTTCGTGCAAATTGGTGAAAATATTACTGAGTTAGTGAACAACATGCTAGAAACAGACAGATCAGAGCAGACAGACGGACAAAGGCATACCATTATATTTCTCATGAACAAGCGTATGAAAACTGCAGGGTACCATTCCAGGCCAACACCCTCTGAAGGAAACACTATAAGGGAGCTTCCTTTCCATTTTTATGGGGGAAAGGGGGGGGGGGGGCTAGGATGAAAAATTTGGTCCTGCATTTTTTTTTTAGTTCGAGATGTAATCTGTCCTGCTTTTTTATTTTTCACTCTTTTTTGTCCTGCCTTTTTTTCTATTAGTTTATCCCGACTTGTTTTTACATAAATTGTCATTCTGCCTTTTTTTTCATATTGTCTCACCCTGCCTTTTTTTCAAATTTCATCCTAGACTCCCCCCCCCCCCCCCCACCCCCACCCCCCTAAAAATCAAATGGTAGCTCCCTAAGTTAGCAAACAAATTATTTTATTTTTACATTGACAAACCTGTATAACCTTGAAGCAGTATTAAGTTCATGTATTATCCCGCATATTATTACATGTACATTGAACTAAAACAAATTTTGGTCATTGTCAAAATCATAATTTACAGTTTACTTTCCCAATGCTTTCAATTTAAGATTAGAGCATTTTTGTCATTGGAATTGAGTTTTGTAGTCAGAGATTACTCTAACCTCCAACGACTGTTTTGCGACACCAGCTAGGGCAGTGGGACTTCAGCTGGTCCCATATCAGATAGATGATATTTGCCCGTCCAAAGTGGATGTGCTGCTTCGTTGCTTCTGGAGGCGACTGGATCCATATAAATCAAGCCTCAATTTATTCATTTTTCTCTTCATTTAATTAAGTTTGATCAACCTGCCACCCGTTATCTTCTCATA